TAATGGCAAATCTAATCTTTGACAGGCTGCAATAGCACGTAATGCTACAACTAAGAAAGGAAAGCATAAATTCTGGGATGGCAGCAAAAACTTGGTGAGGTAAGAAGCAATCTTGGGTGGAAATACCAATCTGGGAAGCAAAAATTAAGAGCAAAGCATCACAGCAAGTTCTTACACAGATGTTACACCCTGTGTGCTTGATACTCACAGCAACAGTTCCTTTAGCAGTTGAACAGTTTAACTGACAGTTAAACAGTTTTACCAGTTAAAGTTTAACAGTTCTAAATTGTCACCTCCTGCTGACTCAGTTGTTGTCAGTTTGAGCAAAGTCAAGGCTGAACATCTGGAAGTGATATTTTAACTGCTGCTGGAATCTTTGCTGAGCACACCCTGAAGCTCAGAGAGTTCTATTAAGAGCTGCCTCCCAAGAAGTTGATCTTAAGCAATTTTCCTATAAAGTAACAGGCAAAAGAGCCAGAAGATCATCACTGCACTCCCATTCCATGAGAAGCTCCCTGCTCCCATTCAGTGTGAAGCTTTTCCCCCTTGGAATGCTCCAATTAGGCCACCCCAAAGCTTCTCCTGTGCAGGTGAGCAATGCCAGCTGTGCCAGCCTTTCCTGCCAGCAGAGCTGCTCCATCCTCTGCCCATCCTGGAGCCTCCTCTGGGCTCTGCAGCAGCTCCAGCTCCTCCCTGCAGGTGGGAAATCACCTGAGGGGCACAATCCCCTCCATAAAACCACCAGCCACACTTGTGATTTGCTCTGTCTGGAGCAAATTCTGATTCTGCAAAAATTTACCCTTCCACCTTGAAACTGCTGAGTCTGTCTCACTTTCCCTGCCTTTCTGCCCACTGGGAGGTGAAAACCTTGATGTATTTAAATACTGCCAGCACAGCAGGATTTGAGTGGTTTAGAGGTGATTGAATAGACTGGAGACAGCAAAGCCCCCCAGGGACAATGAAGGTGCTTTTCCATGAGCTGGAATCCCTGAGCAGAGAGTGCACAGAACAGAGCAGGGGGTGGAGAAGAGAGAGCACAGCAGCTGCTTGGGCACAGGGAGCCATTGCCATGGAGATGGGCACTGAGGCAATGAACCCAGCCCAGCTCTGCCCCGTGGGCCTCAGCACTCCCACGTGGTGCAAACACAACCCTCAGGGAAGCATGCTTACAGAATCATGGAATTGTTACAGCTGGCACAGCCCTGCCAGACCATGCAGTGCCAGCTGTGCCCCATGGGCATCGAGCACTCAGTGCCCCCTCCCACATCCCCTACAGGGATGGGCACTGCAAAGCTCCCTGGGCAGCCCCTGCCAAGGCCTGAGCTCCCTTTCCATGGGCAAATTGCTGCTGCTGTCCCAGCTGAGCCTCCTCTAGCACACTGTTCTCACACCATCCTTAAGATAGGAAGTTTGCCCAAGCCAAAATGCAGCATGGCACTGGCACTAAAGTGTTGGATGCACCCACTGCCCTCTCCAAAGAACACAGGAGCACTTCCCACCTTTAAAAGCGATACCAGCATTGTTCACGTTGATCCCTCCATACTTCTCCTTGAGGAAGTCCAGACCTTCCTTGGGCACCTCCCGGGATGGATGGGCACTGCAAAGCTCCCTGGGCAGCCCCTGCCAAGGCCTGAGCTCCCTTTCCATGGGCAAATTCCTCCTGATGTCCAGCCTGACCCTCCCCTGTTCTCACACCATGCCTAAGATGGGCAGCTTGCCCAAGCAGAAATGCAGCACAAGCGTTGGATGCACCCCCTGCCCTCCGCACAGAAGCACCCCAGGAGAGCACCGCCCACCTTTGAAGGCGATNGAGGCTCATCCAGAAGACAACCACAGCTCCAGCACCATTTGCTACAGGAAGTTTTTGCTGGTTCAAGGACTTAGCTGGAGAAATGCAGCACAAAACCAAAATAACAAAACTTAATGGCAAATCTAATCTTTGACAGGCTGCAATAGCACGTAATGCTACAACTAAGAAAGGAAAGCATAAATTCTGGGATGGCAGCAAAAACTTGGCGAGGTAAGAAGCAATCTTGAGCTCCCTTTCCATGGACAAATTGCTGCTGCTGTCCCAGCTGAGCCTCCTCTAGCACACTGTTCTCACACCATGCCTAAGATGGGCAGCTTGCCCAAGCAGAAATGCAGCACAAGCGTTGGATGCACCCCCTGCCCTCCCCACAGAAGCACCCCAGGAGAGCACTGCCCACGTCTGAAGGCAATGCCAGCATTGTTCACGTTGATCCCTCCATACTTCTCCTTGAGTAAGTCCAGACCTTCCTTGGGCACCTCCAGGGATGGATGGGCACTCCAAACCTCTGTGGGCAGCCCCTGCCAAGGTCTGACCACCCTTTCCATGGAGAAATTCCTCCTGATGTCCAGCCTGACCCTCCCCTGGCACACTGTTCTCACATCATCCCTAAGATGGGAAGTTTGCCCAAGCAGAAATGCAGCACAAGCGTTGGATGCACCCCCTGCCCTCCGCACAGAAGCACCCCAGGAGAGCACCGCCCACCTTTGAAGGCGATGCCGGCGTTGTTCACCAGCACGTTGAGCCCTCCATACTTGTCCTTGAGGAAGTCCAGGCCTTCCTTGGGCACCCCAAACCTCTGTGGGCCGCCCCTTGCAAGGCCTGACCACCCTTTCCATGGACAAATTCCTTCTGGGATCAAATCTGACCCTCCCCTGGCACACTGTTCTCACACCATCCCTAAGATGGGCAGCTTGCCCAAGCAGAAATTCAGCACAAGTGTTGGATGCACCCCCTGCCCTCCGCACAGAAGCAGCCCAGGAGAGCACTGCCCACCATTGAAGGCAATGCCAGCATTGTTCACGTTGATCCCTCCATACTTCTCCTTGAGGAAGTCCAGACCCTCCTTGGGCACCTCCAGGGATGGATGGGCACTGCAAAGCTCCCTGGGCAGCCCCTGCCAAGGCCTGAGCTCCCTTTCCATGGGGAAATTCCTCCTGATGTCCAGCCTGACCCTCCCCTGGCACACTGTTCTCACACCATCCCTAAGATGGGAAGTTTGCCCAAGCAGAAATGCAGCACAAGCGTTGGATGCACCCCCTGCCCTCCCCACAGAAGCACCCCAGGAGAGCACTGCCCACCTTTGAAGGCGATGCCAGCATTGTTCACGTTGATCCCTCCATACTTGTCCTTGAGGAAGTCCAGACCTTCCTTGGGTACCTCCAGGGATGGATGGGCACTGCAAAGCTCCCTGGGCAGCCCCTGCCAAGGCCTGAGCTCCCTTTCCATGGAGAAATTCCTCCTGATGTCCAGCCTGACCCTCCCCTGGCACACTGTTCTCACATCATCCCTAAGATGGGCAGCTTGCCCAAGCAGAAATTCAGCACAAGTGTTGGATGCACCCCCTGCCCTCCCCACAGAAGCAGCCCAGGAGAGCACCGCCCACCTTTGAAGGCGATGCCGGCGTTGTTCACCAGCACGTTGATCCCTCCGTACTTGTCCCTGAGGAAGTCGCGCAGCGCTCGGATGCTCTGCAGGTCGTCGATGTCCAGNGTTCTTTTAAATTTTATTTTAAATTCAGGTTGTCTAAAAAAGGCAAAACCTGTTGCTTAATATGAAGAAAAGCAGAGGTCGGACAGGTCGAAAGAGAAGAAGGAAACACTTGAAGAGTTTTATGGATGGAGGTATCATCATACCTGGAAGTTAAATAAGAAAATAACCAATTGTTCCTCAAGGGGTCACTTTATTATTTATATTTTCAAAAGCCTTTGTGCTTGGAAAATTACATTCATAAATGTTAGCTTTTTTTTATATGCAAATATCTGAGTGTTAGTTTACAGTCCCAAGCAGAGCATGGTGAATTTTCTGAGCTCACTTTTCTGCCTAATGGCAAATATTACATTATTCTAAAATTCCTTGGATATGCTGAATAACTCACACATTTCTGAGACCTCCCAGTGCCCAGAGACCCTGAATTTATTTAGTTTAAGTCTTTCTTGCCATTTTGTTATGCTTTAAAATGTCCAAAATACAGTTTCTCTGACTATGCAGTCAAATGTTTGTATTTCCTTTATTGTCCAACAGAATGCTCTTTAACAGCATTAATTAATTTTTCTATTTTTAGTGAACTGCAGTCACAAGCTGGAATACATTAAACTTAAGAAGTGGCTAAAAGAGAGAGGATTTGAAGACAGTAATTTAAGGCCAGCAGAGTTCTGGGGTAATGCTTTAATTATTTCTTGATGGTACAAATTTCTGAATCTTCTGAGAATTTTAGATTCCAGCTTTCATTTTGAATTATGCCCCTGTCTGGCATCAGGAAAAAAAACCAGTTACTGATACTCTTCCAAGGATTCTAGTAATGTCAATTTAACATGAAAAAATAGATATGGAGGCCTGAAAAAGCCAAAATTTGAAGTGTTAACAAAACAGTTTTTGGAATTTAACCTTGTTATAATTTGTTTATCTATTTATCCCCAAGCAAGTTCAGCAGAGAGCTGAGGTTCACTTAGTAATCTTTACAGTAAAGATTTAAACTTATATTTTTTTCTCTTTCTGTAGGTTTTATTTTAAATATTTTGTAGTATTATAGACAGAGCAGAAAGAAAATGGATCAGAGAAAAATATTGTGACAAGAAATGCTAAAGTTCAGTTAAAACTCTGAAACCAAGAGCTGCAGCTGGTGATGAAAGATGTGTGTGAGGAAAAAATGGAGAAAAAGAAGGTGAATAATTGCTATGAGTGGGAGGAAAAAAAGCTGAACAATTGCTAGAATTAGACAGCAAATGCTGCAGGATATGCAGGGAAAAGATCCTGAAAAATAAAGAAAAATGGAGAAAAATAAATGAGGTGTATCTGGAGCAGTCCATAATTGAATTTATGTTTTGTTACACATGCTGCCTGTTCTTTTAGAGCTTTTCCTCACTGTCCTGATCCCTGATTTTCCATATCTGCATTTATTTACTCCTGCTCTTTGTTCCTTCTGCAGGGACAGGCAGGGGATTGATGACAACAAAAGCTCTCCGGGTGAGTGATGCTGTTTGCAATGCAGGAGCCCTTCAGGTTTTGACATTTCATGATTTTTGCANATTGGATAGTTCAGTCTTAAAAGACCTTGGAACAAGAGATTGTTGGCCATTTTGTGCCTTCTAATGAAAAGCTGCTGAACTCACAGTAGTGAGACTGTTTTACTGATAACAAATAATAAACTCTTACATCTGAACACAAAACACAATTTTGAGTGCCTTCAATCCAAACCCAGAGAAACCAACAACTAAAACTCTCACAACCTTAAAGATTATCTCATTGCCATGGACACCTTCTATTATCGCAGGCCACTCCCATCCAACCTGGCCTTGAACATTTCCAGTAGTGTGGAGCCGCCCTAGATAAGCGTTTTTTCTTTAAAATATTATTTAAAATTCCACCTCGGATTATGTGAAACTACATTCCTGTGCAAGCCGTGTAAATTCCTAAGGCAACACGAGGTATTCACAGAGATATCTGGTGTTAAGTGTTCTGAAGAAAAGCCAACCAGTGATGGGTAAAAAGAAGAAATGTCTCGGCTAAAAATTACCAGTGACTAATTTTTCATACTAAATTCACTTTTTGTAGGAGTAAACTCTTCTGCACTTACACCTCACAGAAAGACTTTCCACCTTTTCGGAATATTCAATTGGGTCAGCTCAAATTTTGCTGAAAACTTCAGGCTCCAAACCTGAGCAACCTGGTTTAGTGCAAGGTATCCCTGTCCACGGCAAGGGCTGGAACCAGATGATCTTTAAGGTCCCAAACAATATTTTAAAAAGGATGGTGTTTCTTTATCTTCCAGTGCCAGGCAGGAGGAACACTTACAGCCTATTCCGGGAAAAAACAGCAGAGCACAGGCTGACTACAATGGCTGGTTGTATAACACAGCATCCGAAAACTGCTTGCTGCTTTTCTAACAGATAGAGTGCATTTAAAGAGCTGCATTTCCCCCACAAAAACAAATTTAAACGCTGGCTTTGCTCCCTTTTCACATCACTACCAACTCTTTCTTCCTAATTTACTTGTAACCCTTAGCAGGCATCCAGCGAATATACGACACTCCAGGAATGTCCAGAGTGACACCCCAGGGCCAGGAACGCCATTCTCCCCTCACCGCGAGTCTCCCTCTGTCCCCCCTTGTCCCGTCCCCCTCACGGGAGGGAACCCGCGGGCCGCCATCAACCGCGACGCCCTCAGGGGGGACGCGGGGGTGAAGGGTCCGGTGAGGGGACACCCAGCACCCCATCACCCACCTCCGGCACCGCTGGAGCCTCTCCCTCGTCCCTCAGCTCCACACAGCGAGGACAGAGCACGTTATATCCAAAGTACAGACACCCACACACCGCGGGGAATGGAGATGGGGACGCCCCTAAGATGGCGGGGCAGCCCCGCCTCAGAGGCGGAAGAGCAGGCGGGGACTCGCGCAGAGGGACAGTGAGGGATTGTCGGTGCTTGTGTCCCCTTTGCAGGTGGGTTTGGGACACCGGGGAGCAATTCCAGCCCGGCAGAGACTCGGGAATCACAGTCTGGCCTGGCAGGGGAGGACGCGCTTGGGGCTCCCAGGGACAGTGCGCGGAGCACGGGCGGTCCCTCAGGAAGTTCCGCTCCCGCAGCGCTGCCGGGGCCGGTTCTGTCCCTCCCAGCCCGGGGGTTTGTGCCGAGCGGGGAATGGAGGTTGGTTTGCACGGAATTCCCAGTTCTGGGGTGGGATGGGGTGATCGGGGTGAGGTTTGGACTCGATGATCTCTGAGGTCTTTTCAGCCCAAAGGAACGGGATGTGATGGAGGGCCGGCCTCTGAGGAGCCCGAGCGCCTGTGGGTGATCCCGGCTCCCTGCGGCCCCTCCGTCCTGGCAGGGAAAAGCTGCGCTTCGAGGTTCAGTTCAGGGCAATTTTAGCAAAAGGAAAGAGATCAGGGCAAAGTTCTTGCCCAGAGAGTGCTGGCACTGCTCAGGCTGCCCAGGGAATGGGCACGGCCCCGAGGCTGCCACAGCTCCAGGAGCCTTTGGCCAGNGCACAGAATGGCTTTGAAACTTTCTGACCCAACGCATGGAAATAAAAGAAGTATAGTAGAGTAAAAGAGATGAAGTAAGAAGACGACTGATGCTTAGAATAAAAGAGAAGAAGTTATGGTAAAGCTAAGAGATATTGTAAGAAAGCAATGAAATGCTTCTGTATAATAAAAAGTGTCACTGTTCGGTTGGATGTAATATGTGCACACATGATCAGGGTCCAAGAAGAAAAAATTTTTTATGCTGTGTGTTCTCCAGCTTATATACTCTTAACAAAGCCTGATCTTAAGTCATTAACTACATCACAACTTATTAAATTCATTGGTGCAAAGGAACTAACGTCAATATATCTGGCAAAAGTTTTACAGCAATTCAATAAGGCGTGTTACACATCTATTTATGCACGTAGTGTAGCCTACAAAGATTTTCAGGCATCTTTTCTAACCTGTTTCCATGCTGATGGCTTTGTCTTCTTCCTTGCTGTGGATACACTAAAAAATCATTATTATTTGTTCTATTAACTCAGCTTTGCTTGCAGGCCAGCTGTGAATGAAGCTCCTGCAGAGCCCTTGCACAAACCAAGGCCAAGGTGAGTTTGCAATGTTTGCAGATGCCACACTGAGGGACAGCAGCTTTTGAAGCTCAGTGACTTAGGGAGCACTGGAAGGATGAAGGGATTTCCCACTGCAGGATTCAGTCTCTCAAAGCTCTGACTAAACCCAAGAGCTGCGTTGTGTTTTGCTGAGGTCCCAGTAGCACAGCTGCAAGGACACACACAAACTGGTTTTCCTCATCAGCAGGGTTGAGTTACAGTGTAGCAGCCAAAACTTTCACAGCTTTAGTGCCAGTTTTTGATTTCTTTTCTCTTCTGTGGGATGGGGATTGAAGACACTTGAGATTATAGTGCACGCTCAGACTCAAATGTTTATTTTCCTTGTCTGTGTTACAGTCTCATGAACTGTGAGTTCTGCAGTATTTCACTAACAAGGTACAAAAATGGCTCACTGTCTTTGTGTCCAAGGTCTTTTAAGAGTGAACTGTCCAATCAAGAAATGACACCTAAATTAATCTCACTTTCAACCCAATAACTCATCACTCAAAGCTGGCAATGGGGACTTTTCTGTCCAATTACACAAAACCACCCAAACCCATGGAGAAGAAGGTGAAGAAGAAGGAGCAGCCTCCACCCTAAAACCTCCACCTTGCTCTATGTATATTTTTATATTTTAAACCCTTAAACTCTGAGTTTCCCACCCTGTGATATCACACACTTCCATTCAAACTCCACCCCCACAATCTCAGCTCTGTCATTCCATTCTGGAAGCTTCTCCAGGGCCTCAGGTCAGTGCAGTGTTCTCTGGGGGTCAGTGCTTGGCAGCACAGAAAGTCTGAAATTCTCAGCACACAGGGTTCCAACTTTTGTAATTTTTCCCCTAAACCCAAGGCCTCTGAGGTTTTTTTCTTCCCACAGAATAGATTTCGCTGAGAACTTCTGGCCTTCCCTTCCAGGAGCTCTGGGCCATGACTGATGAGGTAATTCTTCACAAAAACAATGCTCCTGTATGCTTAAGAAACCAATTTGTAACCAGCCCTTTGTTCTGTGCTGATAAACAATTAATAATAATCCCCCACAATATTTATTCCCAATTCCTCCCACTCCAAGGCTTCCCAGCCCCAGCTCTTCTGGGGGAGGCCAATGTCAAAGCCAGCCAGCATCACCCCAACTCCTGATTAACAATTAACAAATCCATTATTGATTTGTCATTACTAACAACAGCTTTATGGGCAATTGTTTCCAGCTCCTTCAGCCTCAGAAAAGGCAATTTTTCAACTCTGCGAGTCTAAAAGGCAATAAGCAACATTTCAACAAATGTACAGCTCTCCATATCACTTAGTTGTTGTTGCTAATTGGAGAGCAGTTAATTCAGATTTTATTAAGGAAACTCCAGGCTGTGCAATAAAGGAACTGAGGAACACTTTGCTGTGTCAGGTCTGCAGTTTATTTTCTGTTTCCAATGCACACATCACAAATTCCAGCCACAAACTCTGCTGCAGAAAATGAAAACACATTCTTTGAGTTTTTAAGTTTTTAGTACCACAATAATTACATACCAGAATATAAATCAGTAATTATTTATTGATATATTAATAACACCAACTGATTATGTTTGGCTGCAAATGATAGATCAGTGCTATTTTTATTTTCACCTAATTCCATGCAGTTCTGATAGCAAGGAATGTCTGTCCAACAGTGATTCTGGTCTTGAGCCTCCCCCCAGACAGATCCCAGCTCCAGAACAGCCCCATCCTCTTTAGAAACCCCTGGGCAGCCTCCAGAACAGCTCTGGATCCTGGAAAATTCTACTGTGATGAGAGATAAGGCACCTGCTTCCTGATCCCAGCTCCATGAGACCCATCCCAGGGGAGAGGGAAAAGGGAATGATGGAGTTAGGAATGAAATCAGGAAAATGAGCTCAGCCTTTCCATCCCCGAGCTCACCAGGGTTTGACAGTTTTGTCACTGACAAATTGGCCATGAGGAGCATCAGCACTGGAAGGCAGAAGGGCCAAATACACGGGGGTCTCAGCCCCCTCCTCGGGGGACTTGGTGGCCTTGGGACCTGCCATGTCTGTCCTGACCCAGCCAGGGCAGCAGGCATTGAGGAGGATGTGGTCGCCCTTCCTCTGCTGGTCCAGCAGCCGCGCTTGGATCCTGGACAGGACAGTGACCCCGATTTTGGACACCCCATAGGCAGTGTTTGGCCAGCCCTCCTTCTCATGGACCCCTCTCTTGGTGTCTTCCACGAATTTGGTCATGAGCTGCACCAGCTCCTCCTCAGTGATGGTGTCACTGCGGAATTTCTGCTGCAGCTCCTGGCTGCAGCCTCGCAGGGCTGAGCAGCTCACCATGCTGGAGACGTTCACCACCCGGCCTGAAAAGAGAATAAAAATGAATTATTTACATATTTTCTGTCACAGACGTATTTTATGAAAAAATTGCTAAGATTTTTTCTCCTGAGAAGCCTCAGAGGAAAAGGAAAACAATGGTTATGTGCTGCTGTGGAATGCAAAAGGTGCAGCTGTGACTGGTCCATCTTGGTTGTCTTTTATTAACGTCCAATCACAATCCAGCTATCTCAGACTTTCTGGTCAGTCACAAGAATTTTCATCATTCCATTCCCTTCTATTCCTTTCAAGCCTTCTGATGAAATCCTTTCTTCTATTCTTTTAGCATATAATTTTCTTTGAATATAATGTATATCATAAACA